TTAGTGGTGTCTTTCTACTCATCTTTCTCTACTATGATTTCTCCATGAAGTACCCTCCTCCTCTGACGTAGCATGTGGAAGTACAGCTGAGGAAACACTAAAAGAGAAACAGACAAAAAAGTAAAGTAAAATATCTTTATCAAACCATTATAATCAGTGGCTATTTCATCAGCCTCAATTTCCAAAGCTTTAAACCCATCCCACAAGTTATTATACACTAAAATTAAACTATTGCAAAAAGCAATAATGACAGAAAAAATTTACATAGGAATTTACATCATCAGGGTCGAAAATTAATCTGGGCTTGGGGCAAAAAATTCAGTGAAAATGTATTTTGCAGTGCAGACAGTTTCTTTGATTATAACAGGAGTTTGTGTGTGTGTATGTGTGTGTTTGTGAAAGTCATTGGTCACTGGCCACTTTAAAGTGATAGGGAATGCTCGCTTGCTGTACAGTATATTATTTATTTTCAGGTCACTTAAAACAAGGTTCATAGGAGACTAAGTTGGGGTAAGTTTTAACATTTATAACATTACAATTATTTCATGTTTCATCTAAACAATATTTTTTTAGGTATCAAGAACAAAGGCAACCTTTGTAATTATATTTATAAACTTTTTTTTTTTTTTTTTAACACATTCGATTTAGAAAAATAAGACACAATTGTGTCTTATTATGGAAAGTCTCTTGGACTTTCCATAAAAGTCAAATAGATAAGTTGCCAATCAAATTAAAGGGGTCCTATTATGCTCTTTTACAAAGTCTTGATTTTGTTTTGGGGGTGTACTAGAACAGGATTGAGCACGATTTAAACCCGGAAGATTGTAACCACTCTAAGTCCGTCTGCCTTGGGAAAGCTAGCGTGTCTCCGACATAGTGATAACACTCGTTGGCTTCTCTAGTGCAGCTCTACCAGGTCTCGTCCCATTCGTCGATATTTGTGATATCACAAATCCCGGAAAATATGCGTTGTAGTCCAAACGAGTCGTTCGTTGTAGTTTTTGAAAAGTGATTTCTGTTAAATAAAATATCTCCTTTTGAAGATGAAACAAAGATGAAGATGAAAATGAAACAAAAATGGCTCAAAAGTCACTCTGTCAATTAATCATTCATTCAATCGGTTCGTTCAAGCTGATATATTCAGAAACGAAGCAAGACTGTTCAAAAATGCACATTCATTCATAAATGAAACACTGTATTTGCTTGGAGATGTGCAGCGGCTCAGCTGTGAATTTGTTTGGAACTGCTGGACTAGAGCAATATGAGATGATCGTGTTCCTAAAATGTCACTTAATTTATTGTTTATTGAACTGTTTTATAAAATAAATTCAAATGCTGTCACTCATCTTCATCGCAATCTCACAAACTTCCGTTGCAATCTATGAATCTCTTATTTACATCATCGCTACTCTTTGTTGGTTATAATGAGAGGATTCACGAGCTTGTACAACTCAGCACTGAACTGTTTTGTGCGGTTGTGGCTTTGACTAACTTAAACGTTAACAGAGCTTTCCCTATATCAAATTTTTTAACTAAGATGTTCAGATCTTCATCAAAAATCATGGTTCATTCCAGATAATTTACCTGAAGCAGTCTGAAGCTTTCACAATCTGTGCTGTGAGGAGCAGGATGCACACCGATAAACAAGCATTTCCATTGGCTGCAGTCTGCAGGTGTTATGGCCAATCACAAAAGCTGACATTGTGCAACTAACTACACACAAAAATATCCCACTACATTTTTATGTACGTAGGCTATTGAATGAAATAATAAAATATCTAAATCTATAATTTCCAAAAATAAAAAAATAAATCTAACCAGGCATCCCCCTCGAAATTCACACCCTGGACTCTGCCCACCCACATCCCCCCTCCCCGTGTCCCCCCCCAATTTTAGCCCTGCCAATGCCACTGTAGACATGAGCTATAGAGTGGTGCACACACCCATACCGAAAACACAAATTTGAAAGCAGTTATGTTTATTTTTGAAAATATATGTATCTAATAACTAACTAGACAAGACAGTTTGGGATGTCAATGTGTCCATTTTATACTTACACCACTCTATAGCTATGTTTCCATCACCCTGTTTTAATGCTCATTTTGAAGTATCGCATGAGAAACGAGTGATGGAAACGCCAAATTTCTAAAAGAAATCCCTTAATTCGCAAAAAAAGTTTTTACGCTTGCTTGAGGTGGTTTTTGACGTGCGAAAAAGGGTTAATGCGAATAATGGGAGATGGAAAAGCATTTTGCGAATAAATCCTGCATGAGTGTTCAAAAAAGTAATGTGACTTTGCGCTATGGGACAGCATAACCTGACTAACCAGCGGGACGATTTAGTTGCACAGCATCTGAAATGTTGTCATGGTCATTCTGAAGTGCCCGAGCAAAGTCTGTCGTCAAAGTATTTCTGTATAACTGCCTCCCAGAACGGTCTACCACGACTGTGTTCCCAAACAGCTGACATTCACCTCCGAAAGCCAGACCGCATTTATTGTGATTCGTCTGCTCATTCAAAGCGCAAGTAATTTATTATATTTGAGAATGATTACCGTGTATTCAGTTGCTTCTATAGTGCCAGTTTATCAGGAAGTGACGATTTTTTTCTCTCTAACTCGTTGGATGGAAACAGTGCTTGTTCACAAATGTTTTATGCGATATTCCAATTTTGCGCACAAGTTAAATTCGCAACTT